TCGCATTATAGGTAAACCCACAATGTCAAATTAATACTTTTACAAGTATTAAACATTTGAAAGAAGAAATAGCAATTATAGTTATAATTTTTATTATTTTTAAAGCATGTAACTGCTTGATGTTTAAATCTAAAGAAAATATAACTAGAAAAAATTCCACGCGGACCAGGCAGCAGACAGGACTCGAACCCGCACCCTTCGCAATCCGGGCGAATGCACTGACCAATTATGCTACCGCGGCCCTCACGGACCGCGTCGAAATTCCTTCTAGCTATTCTTAAGCTGCAAGGCAGCGCCATCTCTTCGCATTATAGGTAAACCCACAATGTCAAATGAATACTTTTACAAGTATTAAACATTTGAAAGAAGAAATAGCAATTATAGTTCTAATTTTTATTTTTTTTAAGCATGTAACTGCTTGATGTTTAAATCTAAAGAAAATATAACTAGAAAAAATTTCACGCGGACCAGGCAGCAGACGGGACTCGAACCCGCACCCTTCGCAATCCGGGCGAATGCACTGACCAATTATGCTACCGCGGCCCTCACGGACCGCGTCGAAATTCCTTCTAGCTATTCTTAAGCTGCAAGGCAGCGCCATCTCTTCGCATTATAGGTAAACCCACAATGTCAAATGAATACTTTTACAAGTATTAAACATTTGAAAGAAGAAATAGCAATTCTAGTTATAATTTTTGTTATTTTTAAAGCATGTAACTGCTTGATGTTTAAATCTAAAGAAAATATAACTAGAAAAAATTCCACGCGGACCAGGCAGCAGACGGGACTCGAACCCGCACCCTTCGCAATCCGGGCGAATGCACTGACCAATTATGCTACCGCGGCCCTCACGGTCCGCGTCGAAATTCCTTCTAGCTATTCTTAAGCTGCAAGGCAGCGCCATCTCTTCGCATTATAGGTAAACCCACAATGTCAAATGAATACTTTTACAAGTATTAAACATTTGAAAGAAGAAATAGCAATTATAGTTATAATTTTTATTATTTTTAAAGCATGTAACTGCTTGATGTTTAAATCTAAAGAAAATATAACTAGAAAAAATTCCACGCGGACCAGGCAGCAGACGGGACTCGAACCCGCACCCTTCGCAATCCGGGCGAATGCACTGACCAATTATGCTACCGCGGCCCTCACGGACCGCGTCGAAATTCCTTCTAGCTATTCTTAAGCTGCAAGGCAGCGCCATCTCTTCGCATTATAGGTAAACCCACAATGTCAAATGAATACTTTTACAAGTATTAAACATTTGAAAGAAGAAATAGCAATTATAGTTATAATTTTTTATTTTTTATTATTAGTTTTAAAGCATGTAACTGCTTGATGTTTAAATCTAAAGAAAATATAACTAGAAAAAATTCCACGCGGACCAGGCAGCAGACGGGACTCGAACCCGCACCCTTCGCAATCTGGGCGAATGCACTGACCAATTATGCTACCGCGGCCCTCACGGACCGCGTCGAAATTCCTTCTAGCTATTCTTAAGCTGCAAGGCAGCGCCATCTCTTCGCATTATAGGTAAACCCACAATGTCAAATGAATACTTTTACAAGTATTAAACATTTGAAAGAAGAAATAGCAATTCTAGTTATAATTTTTGTTATTTTTAAAGCATGTAACTGCTTGATGTTTAAATCTAAAGAAAATATAACTAGAAAAAATTCCACGCGGACCAGGCAGCAGACGGGACTCGAACCCGCACCCTTCGCAATCCGGGCGAATGCACTGACCAATTATGCTACCGCGGCCCTCACGGTCCGCGTCGAAATTCCTTCTAGCTATTCTTAAGCTGCAAGGCAGCGCCATCTCTTCGCATTATAGGTAAACCCACAATGTCAAATGAATACTTTTACAAGTATTAAACATTTGAAAGAAGAAATAGCAATTATAGTTATAATTTTTATTATTTTTAAAGCATGTAACTGCTTGATGTTTAAATCTAAAGAAAATATAACTAGGGTTTACCTATAATGCGAAGAGATGGCGCTGCCTTGCAGCTTAAGAATAGCTAGAAGGAATTTCGACGCGGTCCGTGAGGGCCGCGGTAGCATAATTGGTCAGTGCATTCGCCCGGATTGCGAAGGGTGCGGGTTCGAGTCCCGTCTGCTGCCTGGTCCGCGTGGAAGTTTTTCTAGTTATATTTTCTTTAGATTTAAACATCAAGCAGTTACATGCTTTAAAAATAATAAAAATTATAATTTTGTTTATGTTCAATGTATGGCAGTGGGTTATCTCAATACAGGGTTATCAATTATTATTACTTACGTGGATGTATCTACACAAAGTAACATCGATAAAATGATTAAGTATTTCGGAAAATACAGAGTTAATATATAATGACTACATAATAATAATCATAATCAAAATCATTTATTCAGTTTAGGCTGTTGCAAGCCCTCTTGAATATCTAGAAGCTACGCCATCGATTCGTAAATCTACGGCGTGAGACCTTGTATTGAAAAGAACGGCAAGAAACTCAACAAGGGCTGTTTTTTGTCCCTGTTTTATTATTTACAGAGTCGTCAAACTGAAAAATGACTTCAGAGATGATTCATGAAGTCACCTCTCATTACATAATGTGAAATATACATTAATTGTTCACCTGCATTTTGATTGTTGTGTCATACAGTATAAATACAAATAGTGTTATTTATATCAGGTGTAATTAGACATTAACATCTTAAATATCAAAGTAGTTAGGGCAGACTCATCCCCGCTGGCAGCACCCGTTCACGAGCATGACGCATGAGCCAACCATCGCTTCGCTTAACCATATTTTAGGGAACGTAACGATCCGCATAAAACAATATATAATACATAAGAATAAAGTAACAATAGACCATTGTAGAATTAAGCTGCGTACGGATAGCGCGTTCTAGGACACATGCAGCCGACTACGCGTGCCCTGGATCAAGCTATCCATACCTGAAACACATATAACTTAATAGCGTCTAATGGCTCGCTAACTTTGGTATATAGATAGTTTGAGTCCCGGCAAAGGAGAAAAATGGTGAGAAAGACACCACAGAACAGACAGATGTTAGAAGGGTGATCATATTCCGTTTGTACGAGAACCGATGTAGCTGGCTCGCTATCACTACACTTCCACCTAATAGATAATAGCCAATCAAACGACGCGACATTTAACAAGCAAACCAATCAGCGCTCACCCCCGAGAGCAACGACGCAATCAGAACCAAGATTTTGTTAAGCTACGAGCATTTGCTCACATATTACTGTGGTCTGCCTGACCTTTTTTTGTGTCTGGGAAATGCCTTAACTTCAACCACTGGGGGAGCGAGAAAAAGGTTTGTGGGACTCCTCCCTGTCCTGCTTAGCCAGCCCTGGAACTCGCTGAAGTGAACAGGGCCCTACCTACGCCCTGCGCACCTGCCCTACCCACATGGCCCTTCTTTCTATGTTCTGTGTGGGAAGGTGGCTTGTTTTCCACCCATTTGCCATAAAGAAGACAAATTACGTATTGTATTGTATGTGTGCTAAACCGCAGGATATTATTTTTCTGACATATGCACAATAATAATATGTACATAATAAAGAAAATCTACATCACACAATGGCTATTCAAAATACGTCATTAAACTGCTTCTGCAAAACGGCAGCACAATGTAACAATTTCCAATAGGTAGTTACTATTGACTTCCAAGTAAGTACTTGTAATACTAAACATAATCGATGAATGTTCCAACATTGTTATTTGGCTACTTGCCTATCAACAATAGTGCAGTATTTATCTATTTAGATTCGCCCGTACATTATTACCGATACGGTTGGGAGAGTTATCAATTATTTGGTGTCATGAAATCAATAGATTTGATACTTTGTAAACTTGGTTATATCATCGCTTGTCGTTATGGTGAATATTGTAAACAGGAAGTAGAATCACGCTGAATTTTGCTGAACGTGTTTCGTGGAACGTAATGTAAAGGTTAGCCCATTGTGGTCTCACAATAAATTTTGCCTTTAAAACTTTCTAGCCTGAACAGTTGTTATGGCAAAGTTTACTAGTGGATGGTACCTACCTATCTATGTTAGGAAATTAAAAATTGGCAATATTACTTAACTGGCAATGAAACAAAAAACAAATAAAAAAAAAATAAAAAAAACACGGTCTACGTGAAACGGTCGAAAATTCTATTAAAATTTTCTAATATTTAAACCTCCAGCGGTTAAATGCTTATTTTTACTTAACAAACTTTTATTCGGTGTTCATCTGAACTAAAGTGTTACAAACTTCATAACAATTGTAAATAAATATCGCTAATTCGGCGAAGAAATTCGGAACGTAGGTGCCTACTACTTCATTAAATGCATTCGCTGGGCAGAGTTTAATATTTTTTTGGTAAAACAATGTATAATTATAAAAATCTAACAACTAAATGCTTTAATCAAAATATACTGAGTTCTTTTTTTTATTTGTTGTTACCTAAAATTCTAGTAATGTGGTTGGTGTTGGCACACGTTTTGTAAAAAATCAACTGTCTACTACTTGGAAGTAGAATCACTATTTTCGGCTTATGAAGCGGAACCAACCATTTTTCCGAAATGTCCTTCCATATATAAGATTCCGTAATAATGTAGCTATATCAAGATTTGCAATAATTTATTTATTCTGAAGAGTCCATGGTATGTAACTACGCCGGTTTTCAAGGTGTCGCCTACTCAGATGTCCTGGGTTCGAATCCAGTGAGACAGAAGTTTGTATGATGAATACGAGTATTTGTACTTAAATCACGGCTGTTTATATGTTTAATTATATATTTCTAGACAAAATATTCTTATAGATTTATCATTGTATGTGTTTCTATCCGTTACCCTCGTATACCATAAACACAAGCCTATCAGTGCTTGCTTTAGGGCTGGGTTAGCCCAGGGTGTTAGAAAATGTTATTATTACCTATTTCTATATTATGGGCTAATTAGTGTGAACGATAGAAATATTTATTATCTTTATTCTATTGCAGCACTTTGTTCACCGGAGGAAAGTACGTGCTAGCAGGCACCAACAACTCCGATGACGGCAGCGGCGTCAAGAAGCGTGTGAAGCAACTCCACCTTCATCCGCTTTTCACCGTAGGCCCCTACTGGGTCGACGCACAGAGGTTCAACATCAAGCAGGTATGACTCTTTTCTGGGAGAATCTCAGTAGGAAGCATACCACCCTGTGGCACCCTGTCCTACCTGCTTGCGTACTTGTGAACAACTGGAGCTGAGTTTTCTGTTTATATTGCCTTCGAAGGCAGACGAACAGGCGGGCCACCTGATGTTAAGTGGTCATCGTCGCCCTTGCGCACCAGCAATGCCAATGACAAAGCCATAATATGCCGCTGCCTTGCCGTGGAACACTCTTTTTAGGCCTCGTTTGAAGAGGACCAGCTATAGCACTGAAGGAACACCATGGAGGGGAAAGGGGGAGCTGATTCCATAATTTAAATTTCCGTGGCAGAAAAGATCTCTGGAAACGAACAGTTTCACTGTTTCCAGGGTGAACTAGACTCCGATGGCCCGTTAAGTTTTACCACCGCACTACCTGTATACTAACCCGTATAACTTGATCTGAAATGGTGCTGTAGGTATCAACTTGTGTATCAACTGAAACAATTCCCCAGAGCACTCACCATGAAAGAGCCCGTAGAATACGCAAAGGCAACCAAAATGTTTGCACCAAAAAGTGAGTCCGGAAAAATAACCTAATATTAAGTGCAAGTGGAGTCCAGACGTGAACGAAGCTGATGCATGGTGGAAAAAGTACCGCTTAAGCTATCCTCACATTGCCGAACTCAACCCAATCTCTTACTTACCCTGTGAAGCCCTGGAACTTCTTTAAGGCAGTAGTTAATGAAATCTCGTTATACTCATGCAAGTAGCAGAGTAATCACTCCGCTCTCCAACTGTAAATCCATTAGAAACTTTGCTTCTTGCAACTTGATGCTCCTCGTTACAATCTTGCGGATCCATGATGATTTAAGCCGTCACGCAGCAAGGTCATCTGTGGTGTCCAACTGCCAAAAATCTTTAATAATGAGAAAAATTGTGAATAGCATAGTCAAGCAAAGGTTATTATTTACAGGTGGCAGCCACATGGGACTTTCTGCTAGCAGAATTGGAAGAGCCGCTGGATCTGAATGGTGTATCTATAGCGGCCATCCCCTTGGATGACGAGTTAAGAGTTGCACCAGAGACACTTGTCGGCTACGCTGGCTATGGGACAGATCACCACGGGGTAATTTAAATCTGCTTTAAAACATATACAACCTAGCTTAGAAATAGGAAAGGATACCACGAAACTGTAAGGAGAACTTGATGAACTTCAACATTCATTATATCTATATATATAAAACTCAAAGGTGACTGACTGACTGACATAGTGATCTATCAACGCACAGCCCAAACCACTGGACGGATCGGGCTGAAATTTGGCATGCAGGTAGATGTTATGACGTAAGCATCCGCTAAGAAAGGTTTTTGGATCAATTCTACCCCCAAGGGGATAAAATAGGGAATGAAAGTTTGTATAAAACTTAAATTTTAAACCGATCGGGCTGAGACTTTGTATGCAGGTATAAGAATAATCATATATGAATGTAATTGTGTATAATACAAGCCTGAGAACAAAAACTGTAGTCTACACTTCAGCTCTACACCGAAGCGAAGCGAGGGCGGGCCGCTAGTCTGCTATAAGAGAATACAAAAAATAACACACAGGTGCAATTTTCCCTGTCATTATTAATCAGTTGTATAAATCTGATAATAAAGATGCTGTTTTGATTTTTTCATTTTTCTGTATGTAAGGGATAAACAGGTAATTCTTAGTTACTTTTTCTCAAACAACCTTGACTGGACCATGGCGTTGACGATGAATTAAGCGGTTCTCAGCAAAATATTTAATAATAAATAACTTCTAAATTATGGGAGTCAGATTCAAAATCAATCAAAATATTTATTACTAAGATAGAATTATTATGAGCGAACCAATTACTGAGAATCGCTTGCCTCATTATATTTATAGTGATGACTAGCAGGAAATACCCATGTAAGTATCAGCAATGAATATTAACAGAACGACACAAGGAAACGACGCAAACTGAGCACAACAAATCGATGCATAAACAATAACTCTCAGAATAGGTATCTACTGCATACAACATTAAGTTTATTAAAGTTATTAGCAATCTCATTTTAAGAAGAGTAACTGACTCAATCAGTTACTACGTGATCATAGTGCTTGCAACAGTGCCGAAATAACGGGGACTAAAAAAACGAGGTGCATGGTAGCAATCCCGCTAATTAATAACTAGGTATAATGTTAGTAGTTAGTTTAAAACTATGTAAAATTAAGTGTGGTCTCAGCTCAAATTACACTTCCAGCTACAATAGAAAAAATCTCATAAATCTGACGTGTTATAAAACAAATATCAAGTAGGTAATTTAGTACTTAGTTATAAAAAAATTTCATTATCATTGTTAGAATGTAACATAATAATGTATTTGAAAATATAGGTAAAATACATATATATGTTATACAAGCCTGAGAACAAAAAAAATTATAGTCTATGCTAAAGCTCTATACCGAAGAATTTTTTAAATCGATCCAGTAGTTTCGGAGCCTATTCAATACAATCAAACAAACAATCAAATCTTTCCTCTTTATAATTATATATATGTATATATAAATATACTTTTATGTATATATATACTTATATATATATATATATATATAGATAAATAATATATCGCTTTGAGCCTTCCTCAATAAATGCAATATCTAACACAAATCATTTTTTTTCAAATCGGACCATTAGATCCTGATTTTTGCGCGTTCAATAAAAAAAATTGCTTTAGGTACAACGGGACCTACTACGAAACATTTTTTTTACTATTAGTTTCATAAATTTTCATAGGAGGTTTATAATTATATAAAGAAATTCATTGTGTATAATACAAACAAGCCTGAGAACAGAAATTATAGTCTACACTACAGGTCTACACCGCAGCGAAGCGAGAGTGGGCCACTAGTACGTAATTAGTTTGTTACAATGATCTTGTAAAGATTCATCACCCCATCTACAAAGCGTTCAGCTCTATTCTACAGGTACATCCATTATGTTGATTGGTGGAGGATGCAAGATTTAAATTCCAGAAGCTCTGACTATTAATCTGACCAATACAGAAAAATTAAAAAAGATACAATAGGCACTTTACTTACTTAGGTAGGTACTCACGTTATCATCAACATTTCATATTCTTTTACAGGGATACATGAGATCGGAGATGCATGCAATGGATTTGAAGGTATTGCCTGATGAATCGTGCGCAAAGTTAAGGCAATACAACGCTCGGGACATGCTGTGTGCGAAAGGATACGAGCCCAATTTTAACTCCGCTTGCAATGTAAGTACATACCGTAATACTTAAGGAATTTGGTTTGATGGGTGAGAACACTGATAATCATTGATATTTAAACTTCCCTCGTGGGTGTTGTTCACAGAGACATTATGAATCCCAATGTAGACAGCCTGCCAAGGGCTATGAGGGATTTTGAAGCAGATTTACTGATTAGGAATTATATTTTCTTTTACTAGATTACTGTAATATCATAAGGAAGGTTTTGTGATTTCAGTAGTCTACAAGCTGAACCCAGAAAAGCAATAAAATTTAATATGTGTCAAAGTAACAGCTACTTCATCATCAGCTTATTAATCACCCTTCTGCAGAGCCATAGGCCTTCCCTATATAGATGGAATATGGTGTAACAAAGTAACATTCTAACTCATATAATAATATCTTGTCAAAATAACATGCTGAATAGGCTGAGGTTACACCCAACCGCAGGCGACGATAGTTTAAACGTTTTAACAAACTTTTGAAATAATCTCATCTCCAGGGCGACAGCGGTAGCGGATTGGTAGGAAATGGAAAACTGATCGGCGTTGCGTCGTGGGTGGAGAACGACGCGTTGGAATGCAAACCCGGCAACATGGTAGTGTTCTCCAGGGTGGGAGCGGTGCGCGACTGGATCCGGGAGGTCACCAACGTCTAGCCACGCGGAATACAATATTATACCTACCAAGTACTTTTAAGTTAGAGGAGTTTAGGTTGTTCTTTTTTTACGCCAAAGTACACTTAGTAAATGGTTGCCACGTGTATGATTGAAGCTGGACAAAGGTAGATACTTATTCGGGAAATTTAATTGAAATTATGAATGATGATAATTATTATGTTAATGCAGTCACAATCTTATTCCCCCTTATTAATAAACGCAGATAAAGCTTGGATTAGTTAATCCATGTTTTGTCTCTGTTCGTTGTCTTCTGTCGACATGAACAAAATATGGCGTAACTAGGCTAAGCTTATTCCTTGTTTATTAATAAAGGGGGATTATATACATATATGTAGGTAATAGTAAAAATATGGTTTTAACTACTTTTGACATGCATGTGCTAATATTGTAATAGGTAACTAGTAAGTGTGGTTAGCATTTTTCGTGATTGTATACATACAGATTAACTGACGTCTGCTGAATTAAGTAGTATAAAAATTATAACTAATAAAACAAAATGTTGAAAGTGAGAACTGAGAAACGTGTATCGTATCGTTCTTTCAATTTTTAAACGAAGTGATATAGTTACAGGGCCGGATTGTTGGACCCTATGATGTTTTAAAGTTATAGATATACGTCATACACGCTTCTAGTTTGGCAATACGAAAGTCAGGTAATTGGCCGACTTGCATTCAGACGGGCACGCTCTCTCGCCGCGGTTACACTTCCCAACAACGTGTAAATATTCTACGTTGTTTCAGACAAAAAGCCCTATGTGTGTTTTTAAATAGTACACAAAATACACGGAAACTATTAGAGACAAGAAATCTAAAGACGTGTCATTTCATTCGTAAGAACAGTTTTAAAGAAATTAATGTTAAAAAAAATAGTTATTACTTATTTTGGCATTTGCTTTGTTGCCGTTGACACGTGAAGGCTAAATAGCGAGATGTAATTGCTTTATGAATGAGAGTGAAAGAGACTACTTTAGTGCGTTCTATTGGCGGCTGTTGCCAAGGGAAGTTGGGGCAGGGACAATTTAAAATGCAATAATGTTGGTGTATAGTCTATATATTATACGTCATTGGCTAGACCACTTTTTTGTACCACACGATTTGAACCCCCCGCCTCAAGCCCTGTATTGCTATCTCGTCGGCTGTTGACCTACAACAAGGAACATACGATATGTATAGGTAAAAACACATATAGGTAAAATCCTGTTTATATATAGATAGAAGTAGGGCCCCTGACTAAGCATAATGTAAGTGCGAGGTGCTAAGTAGACTAACATCACCAAACCAAAGTACAATGTTGGTCTAGTCTTATTTTTCAAAATGGGTTACCAATTTCTGTATGTACTTACTTTAATCTAATTAAACATTAATATATAAATTAGTAGTTAAAGATGTTAATAATTTTATGAAAGCTTATTGTGAAATCTTTCTCTTTACGAATGCTCTCTTTTGTGTTAACGTTACTGTAATATTATCAAATAACTCTATAAATCGATCAATTCTTTTGCAAGACTATTTTGTAAGAAGTTGTACGAGGTCCTAGCAATAATGTTAAAGTGTGCTGTGATGCAAGTATATTTTTTACTTCTGTTTATCAATAAATATATCGGATACTGGTTTGTATCCGGTACCTTACAATAAAAAAAATACAAACTGTTTCTTTTCCTTTAAAAACTGGTAGTACAACACTGCTCCTCTTCCTATCATCATAACACAGTTTTCCTGCACCTGAGTGAATTCCAAAGAACGAATTCTCATCGCTAATACGAGGATTATTCGTGGTTTTTTCCATCTAAACTCTCAAAAGCAAAAAAACGGGCACTTTAGATTTTTTTTCTCTACTTCAATAAATATTACAAGAAAGATGTTTTATTTCTTTGACAATGTATTGGCATGTTATCTGAAGCATCCTGAGATGGTTCTTTACATTCCAAATTTAAATTTTGAAATAAACTAAAGTACAATACAAAAAATATTTCTTTATAATTTTTTTTTTAAAGCATGCTTGACGTTTAAAAGCTAAAGAAAAAAAATATTTTTTTGGGAAGATATGAATTGCTCTGTGCGAGTCTCTAATCCTTTCTAGACTTAGTTACGGAGATATTTTGTATGGACCACAATTCTTAATAGGCGAGGAGCCACCAATCCTAAAAGCTCCGTGATCACGGATTCTATTATTTTTAATAAAAAATAAAAGTTAACGTTTAGAGTGTTTAGACGAACAAGATTTGCTTGGTCGGCGTGGATTTGATTGGCCGGAAATATTTTAATAAAATTATTTATTATTAAATTTCCATAATTTTTTTCCGTCATCACGGATTTTAATATAATGTTATATAGAATTTTGTGTGAAATATTATGTTCAACAAGAAAAAATCCGGCCGACCAATGATTTTTAGCCGGAAAGGTCACGCATACCTACGTTGTCCTACAGCATTTTGAGGGTTCAGATCATTTCGACATTTCAGTCTGCTGTTTTACTAGGTCTCAAAAGTATCGTTATTTTGTATAGCTTACTATGCATCAAATCTAAACATATTTATTAATTTAACAAAATTCACTATTGAATGTTAAAAAAAAACATTTCTTTTTATTTATAATTAGGTATTTAAAATTGTCAAACCGTCCAATATTTGTACATCTTTTGATATTTTAAACAGATATTGATTTTTTGGTGATATTGTGTCCATTTTAGTGATATATTGACGATTGATTCAGTGTACTGTTGCTTTATAAAAGAACATTTAAAGCACTAAATCCAATCACAGCGTTTCATCATAACAATTTCAATATGAAGTGTTTTATTTGTAATACATCAATTAAAGAGAAAATTACTCCGTTTTCTGGAAGGGAAGAAGCTTTTAAAAAATGTAAAAACGTGCTGAGTTTCCGGAAATTAAAAAAATTAAGTATCAAGATTTAAGCTTAAATTCCGATGATTTGAACGACAATGGTTATCATCTCACATTACATATATATACATTCAGGTAATTTTCTTTATAATTTATTATATAATCAACCCAAATAAAAATTTCCTGTATTCCCTCTTTTCCATATTAATTAGTATAATAAATAGTTAAAAACTTAAGGAAGAGACCAGAGGTAGAAGAGAGACTCTAAAAGAAATGTCATCAAGTTAGTGAAATCTATCGTGGTATAGTCCTCACTCACACATTAAATTTGGTATGCGCGATACTTTCGGCAGTTTGTAAGCGTACCAAGATAATTATAAATGTGACATTAAAACGCGTGAATTAAAAAAATAAAAAAAGGTTTCCGTGATAATGGATAAATTTTACCCCTTATCACACCATTCAAATAGATACCTATTTGCGTGCGTGACCTTTCCGCCTAAAAATCATTGGTCGGCCGGACTTTTTCTTGTTGAACATAATATTTCACACAAAATTCCTAAAAATCCGGACTATCTTTACAGTATGTTAAAATTTTAAACTTTTAAAGATGCTTTATGGGCCAGGTATTCCAAAATCAATCCGACCACAATTAGCTTACTATGCTCACAAAACTGTTGGCTTCGCAGGAAGTTTCCGCCACCAAGTAACTAAATGCAGGAATGACAATATATTTTTCTGGAAAAAAATCAACTGTTTATACTAGAAAAACAAAAGTTACTGATGTAAAGTAAGGGCTTGGTAGTTAAATCAAACATGGGTATAGAGCAGGGGTGGCCAGCCAGTCGATCGCGACTATTAGTTCAGTCGGTCGTGGCAAGGCAAAAAATATAAATACATAGAACAGACTGCGCATCGTAATCACAACTGCTGCACGCATCATCTTCATATGCTCAAGCACAATGCTAACAGTAATAAAAATAAGTAAGTATAGTTACTAAGACTAATAATTCCGTTTTATGTTTGCCTTCTTAGTAAATAAAAAAATACTACATAATTGTGTAGTTTCATTTAAGATTGCAAGAAGTATAATTATGGTTTTTTAAGCATTTAAATGCTACATGTCTTAACCTAAAGAAAAATTTACTAGAATATGTAAGAAGTATGTTATTGGTATTTCGGTGATCGCACAGGGTTTCGACAGTAAACAGTAGATCCTGGGTCTAATAAAAGTCGGTCACCAGGCGCGGTCTCAGCCTGAAATTTTGGAGGGGGTCACTCACTACACTAATAAAAAAAACCGGCCAAGTGCGAGTCGAACTCGCGCACCAAGGGTTCCGTACACACCATTTTCAAAAATATTTTTTATTATATGATGTAACTAAAAATTTACGGTTTTCGCAATTTTTCCTTTATCTGTACTATAAGACGTCACTTTGTACCAAATTTCAAGATTCTAAGTTCACGGGAAGTACCCTAAAGGTTTTGATTCCCGTGCGAGTTTCAAAAATTTGAGGAAATTTGCGGCATAAACGGCTGTATCTTTTGATTGCTTTGGCTTAGAAGTTCGATTTTTTCACAGCTCCAAGGAACAATAGACCTGAGTATTAGATATGAATTACAGTTTGATACCTCCACGCGTTCCTGAGAAAAACGGTCTTGACAGACGGACGGACGGACAACAACTTATAGGATCATAAGGGTTCTGTTTTTTTCTTTTTGAGGTACGGAACCTTAAAAATAGGTATCTGGAATAAAATAAACATTATATGCACAAGACACAATTTTATTTTATACGCTACTTATAAAACAAAATGGAAGTCGTCTTTTTGTATTTGCGAATCGGGTGATAATATTTGAGATGTCTGGTACTATTTTCGGATGAAAGTTTAGAAGAGCTAAATCTGTTAATCGCTCTTCTAACATTTTAGTTCTCAAGCACGTTTTTAACTAACTAGACAGCCTTCATCTTGAAACTTTACAATAAACCGACAAATTACATTATTAGAATATTGTTATACAATCTTTATCATATCGCACGATTATCGACGACGCATATCGATTTTGATAGGATTACCAAAACTACGTAGTTCGGTTCCTTGTTTCTAAACTAGTAGTAGATGTCATTTCCAAG